AGAGTTGAGTATAGAAATATATCTATTTAATTCAACAGAGAAACAGGGTTGAAAAAGAAGGGAAAAGAGGGAACAAGAGGAAGGACAGGTTAAGGGAGGAATTAGTCCTAAGAAAATAAATTCGATCTCAGGATGTAAAAAAAAATGTTTATCTGTTCTTAGCAGCAAAGAATTGGAAGCTGAGGGGGTGCCTATCAATCAGGGAATATCTGAACAAGTGATGGCATATAAATGTGAATATAATCATGCTGTAAAAAGTGATGAAGGTGTTGGCTTCAAAGAAACTTGAGAAGACTTTATAAATTGATGAAGTTCATACAAGTGGGCAGAACCAGGGGAACAGTTTATACAATGACAACAATATTGTAAAGACAAATAACTTTGAAAGACTTAGGAACTCTGTTCAGTGTAATGACCAACCAGGATTCCAGAGGACTCATGATGAAAGTTGCCATCCACCTCCTGATAGAGAGGCAAATAATTTAGTGCGGAATGAGATATATTTGTTTTTGGTGATAGCCAATACAAGAATTTGTTTTGCTTGACTGTATATATTTCTTACAGGGGTTTTCTTTTTTTTCTCAATTGGGAGAGGAGACGATAGAAGACAGACTTTTGCTGAGAAAAATGTACAGAAGTGAAGAGAAGGAAGTTTAAAAGGAGGTACAGACAAGCAGAACACTTTTGGAAAATGTGTAGAATTTACTGTGGATTAAAAAAGCACATGAAATGGAGATTCACAATTTTATATACAATCTTTTTTAGCATTCTGCTGTATATGCAGAAATACTCATTTCCCCTGTTGTTATAGCTTAAACATTTTTAAAATTTAAAAATAAATCATCTAGTCTATTCACTAATTTTACAGATGAGAAAACTGAGTCCCAGAGAAATAAAATGACCTGCTCAAGGTTATTCAGCTAGTAAACCATTATTCCATTTAGTCCTCACAACAGCCCTGGAAAGCAGGCATATTTGATCCTCCCAACTAAACTGTAAGTTCATCGAGAACATCTTTGCATCCTCAGTGCCTGGCATGGTAACCTATATACAACAAAGACACAGTGAATGAGGATGATATGGTTGAAGTAGTCAGAGAATTATGGTAGTGGTTTAGGTTATGAAGGTGATGGTGTTGGTGGTGATGGGGATGGTAGTTATGGTGATTAAAATGATGGTGCTAGAGGTGGTGATGATGGTGGCCATAATATGGTGGTGATGATGGTGATGATGGTAAAAGGTGGTATAAGTAAAAGGAAAGGAGAGAACAAAGACACCAGCTTTGAATGAAAGCATTTTTTATTCTTGTTAAATACTTACTATGTGAAGATTGGCTAACATTACAAAAAAGGAAAAGGAAAAATGCTAGAGGGCATGTGGAAAAATAGAGATGCTAATACAATGTTGGTCCAACCATTATGGAGAACAATTTGGAACTGTGCCCAAAGGGCAATAAAATTGTGCATATGCTTTGACCCAGCAATACCACTACTAGCTCTGTATTCCAAAGAGATCAAAGGAAAAGGAACAGGACCTACATGTACAAAAATACATAACTCTTTTTGTGGTGGAAAAGAATTGGAAATTGGGGGAATGTCTATCAATAGTGGAATGGCTGAATAAGTTGTGATACATGATTGTGATGGAATACTATTGTGCTATAAGAAATGATGAGGAGGATAGTTTCAGAAAAACCTGGGAAGACTATACGAACTGATGCAAAGTGAAATGAGCAGAACCAGGAGACCATTGTACACAGTAACATCAACATTGTAATGATGATCAGCTGTGAAAGACTTAGATACTCTAACCCATACAATGACCAGACCCGTGAATGCTGTCGTTTGTCCTTCATCCTCAAAGAGGACCAACGATATCATGAGGGTAATGTCTTGACTTGAAGTGAATTGGATATAAGTGAGGGAGAGCTGTGCAAATCATCAACCTCATTCTCTCCTCCAGAATCATCGGAATCCATGGGCAAGACAAAAGTCAAGACAACTGGTGATATCCCAGCAATGGAAAATGCTGCTCATGTCCAGAAAGAGAACTGATGAACTCTGACTGCAGATTGAAGCATACTTTTTAAACTTTATTTTTCTTGCTTTTTTTTTTGCAACGTGGCTAATATGGAAATATGTTTTGCATGACCTCAAATGTATTATTGATATCATTATTGCTTCCCTTCTCAATGGATGGGGGAAGGGTGGGAGGAGAGAATCTGGAACTCAAAATGTAAATTAAAAAAAAGAGAATATTAAAAATAAATAAATACATTTTAAAATACTTACTATGTGCCAAGCATTGCACTCAGAATGCAAAAGAAGAGACAGTACCTGTCCTCAAAGAACTCACATTCTCACAAGGAAGGACAGGAGCGCAAAAGGGAAGGTGGGGACAGCTTTGAATGATGGCATTTATTGTTATTAATGCTTGGCAATATGGTAATACTTGCTATATGTGCCAAGAACTGGGCTAGGAGCAGGGATACAGATACAAAAGTAGAGGCAGCAGTTGTAGCTTACATTCTAATATGAAAAGTTAATAATGCCAAAAAAAAAGAGTCAGGGGGCTGATAGACCAGCTTTGAATGAAAGCATTCATTATTATTAAATAGTTACTGTGTTGCAGTAAGCACTGTGCCAAGAGCTGAAGATAAAGATTCAAAAGTTCATAAACAAAGAAAGAATGTTCCCTCTAATGGGGGAGACAACACATATGGGGAGTGGCTAGGGGAGTACTTTGGTTTGGAAGTTACAAGGATGATGAGTGAACAGAGTCATAAATTGACACACCCTACCCAGTACTGAGTTGGTTCCAAAATGGTAAGGGAAGAGGTGGGGTTTGCCCACCCTTCTACCCTTAGAGTGGTTGTTGAGAAATGATAAGGAAGTAATATGAAGCATGACTAGATCCACCTAGATATCATGGCCTACTTGAGGCACCCACCAATCAGGATAGGGTCCCAGAGAGGGAGTTCTGAAGCTGAAATGGTTAAGTCCACCAAGGGATGGTCACTGGTTGAGGGGGCAGAGTGGCATGAAGCCTGGGACTTGTTTCCCAATTTTGTTGAGGGGGAGCTCAGGTACTTTATTTTATTTCACTTTGCTTTTAGCTAGCATTTATATAGGGCTTTAAGGTTTGCAAAACACTTTACAAATATTATCACATTTGACCTTCATAATAAGCCTGGGAGGTAAGTGTTTTCATTCTAAGTCCTGCCCAGGGTCACACAACTAGTAAGTGTCTGAGGTCAGATTTGAACTCAAGTGTTCCTGACACCAAGTACAGTCATCTCTCCCCTCCACCACCAACCTGCCTCTGTACATTAGTGTTGCACATGTGTGCTGTAGGGACTGTTCTGTCACAGAGAATTATTGCCAGAGATAATCAGTTCACATATCATAGAACTTTCTCCTCCAGTCCTGTATATGGAATGCATGTTGGTTGGGCAGTCTACCTAGGGATCTGGAGCACAAATACTGATGGGCACAGCTATTGTTTGGCCCCAAGTATTACGTGTCTACACCACTGTGTCCACCTTCAGCTCCGGCTCTCCAGACTTTCTGCCTCCAGTTAGGGAGGAGTTGCTTTAGGCCCAGTTCCAGGGTCCTGGTGTCTGCCCTGCCACTCACACTCCAGCAGCCTCTGTTCTAAGGCTATGTTATCAAGTCCAAACATAGTGTACCTCACAACTCCATGACAGGCTGAAATCTGAGCCTCAGTCTGTCTCTTTCCTTTTTTTTTTCCTTTTTTTTCCCACATACTAAAAATATTTTTATTCATATTTGTGAAGATTGTTTATTGCTGAAAATTGTACTAACAAGATTAACTATGTAGCAAAAATATGTATTATATCTAAATCCTATGATTTAGACCTGAAGGGACCTCAGTAATCATCTGATTTAACTCTTTCCTTTTACAAAAGAGGAAACTGAGACCCAACAAATTTCTAGAGATTAGCTGACTTGCCCAAGATCACAAAAAGAATAAGAAACAGCAGTCCATCTCTTTTCGATGAAGATGCTGGCAAGGCCTTCCCTGTTCCAAACAGCAATTGGATTTAAAGTGCTGGAAAGCTAACTTTCCTCTTCCCTACTCCCAAAGTGGTCTCAGTGCCCACCTCCCCACAGTTGACCCCAGATGGAAACGACCCAAGAAATATACACTTTCAATGCATAGGATAGAGGACATGTAGCCCTGGACCTGAAGGGGATTCTGCATTGTTCATACTTTAGGGAAGGTGGGTTATTGTTGGTGAGTGAAAGGAGCTGAAATGATTTGGTCCTTGAACTGTCTGCCCAGTGGCATGGTGGGAAGGTAAGGAGGCCTTGCTCTATGGAGATAATCCATTTGTCCTTAGATTGTTTTTTTGTCTTTGCCTCTCAGTTTACCCTGGTCCCCATCTTTGACCCAGATTCTGACCTTCCTGTTGTCAGTGTTTCTGTCTTGTTTTTTGAGACTGCTGAGAAGAGGAGCTAGCATCAGGGGAAACTTTGAGAAGTTTCCAGGAGGTGAGTCTCTTTTGCCCAGGCTCTTTCCACCACCCACCCATCCCTCTACATGGAATTTGGAAAGCTTCTAGTCTCCTGTTCTTCTTGTCACTGCCCTGGGTACACTTCTGTCTCTGACTGTGCCTCCCCAGCTTCATATGGTCCCAGAGGGTTGGAAGGTGGTTCCTCGGGGGTCCCAGGTGATAGACATGTAAAATGGTCCCTTTTCAAAATCACTTGTCCCTGCTCCCTCCCCCCATCCCTCTCTCGACTAATCAGTCTCTCGCAAGCCAAGACAGCAACTGGGGCGGGGGCAGAGCAGCCCTGGATCCGCAGGTCCAGGCTCGCTCCTCCTCCCCCGCACCGATGGTCCCCTAGCCTCGCATCTTGAGTACCGGACTCCGCCCCTCTCTTCTTCTCACCTTCCCCCAAGCCCCAATCTCTGCGGCTCGCGAGCAGCAGTCCCACCCCTGTGCCCGCCTCCCGCCCCATTTCGGATGCCTCCGTCTTGCCTCTTTCCCGGGCTCCTCTGCTCTCAGCTGTGGTGCCAGTATCGGTGGCCCACTGGCCAGACCCTGCACCTGGACCTCTCTTTGGTCACTCTTTCCCTGTCTTCCAGCAGCGCCAGTACTCACCTAGCCCTTCCTGTGGGCGCCCACTGTCCTTACCCCAACTTCTTTTCGTGCCGGTGTCCGGCGTCCGCATGTGGGACATGGAACCGAAGGAAAGGAGAATGGTCTCAGGGAACCTGGGTTCCAGCCAACAGACGGCAAAGGAAACGCCAGTGTCCCCAACCTGCAATGACAGCTGCAGGGATCCTGGACACGCAGGGGTCAGGAAGGAGGGGATGCTGATGGGCGAGCTGGAGGCACTGGTCCAGGAGATGGTGAAGACGAGTAGTTGGTGGGAGCGGCACGGCCTGGATTGGTTCATCCTTGCTCTTAACTTCCTCGCTCTACCTTTAGGTGAGAAGTCTGGGGCACTACCTGCACTGGGGCCGAGCTCCAGGAAGCCGGGAGGATCGGATCGATCCTCCAGCCGCCGTTGGGGTAGGGAAGGTCACGGTATTTTGCAGAGTCAGGCCCCAAAGGGGTTAACGAAGCCTGGTATTTTTTGCGGGGTAGGGTGGAGGGGTATGGGGAGAGGGAGAAGAGATGCACGTAGGTTGTTTTGGACTGTGGGGAGGGGTAGGAAGGCGTACTTTGTTAGCGAAATGCTTCTGGGGTGGGCTTTGGGATGAAATTCCCTCTTCCCCCAGGGATTACATAGTGGCCCTTTCTTTGTAGCTCTAATTTCCTTTGGTCTGAGCGAGGCCGCCAGGCAAAGCTGCAAATACAGCTGCAGTCTCTGCGGGTTTCGGGCTGACCTGTTCTCAAACCTTCCTGAATATCTTGGGGGCTGGGAAAAGAATTGTTAGCCCTCACTGAACGCCTGGCGGGGAGGGGGTGGGAAGGACGGAGAAGAGGTCCGGGATCAGAAGTTGAGCTTGTAGTCTGTCCTTCATTGATCCCAAAGTCCCCAGGCTTCTCCTCGGGGTCATTGAGCTAGAGGGCAGGGGCTGAGATCTTGTTCCCCGGTTCTCTAAGTCTGGACATGACCCTGCGAGGTCACCTGCTCTAGAGGGGAGGCTGGTGGGGATATTAGGTAAGGCTGGCAGGCTGGAGTAAGAAAGAGAGAAGGAAAGGAGGGTACAGGCAGGAGGAGGAAGGAGGTGAGGAATGGGTGAGGAACCTTGTAGTATGAGAGGATGGGGAGGGTATTCAGAAGAAAGGATGAGGGAATTGAGGAGAAATGGTGAGAAGGAAGGAGAAGGATATTTACCTGGGGACCTGCTAAGATCAGAGACGCTCAATCTAAGGCTCGGTACCCAACAGAATTATTTCTGGATATTATTTCTTCCTGCTGGTGGGGAAGTGGCATTCAGGATGGGAACCGTACTGTCTTCTTAGTTGAGATCCTGCAGGCTGATCCCCACCTCATGCTTACCCTTATGTTTACTCCTAACTCTTACCTTACATTCTTGGGGGAATTTGGAGAGAGAGGAGGGAGGAGATTCAGAGTGCATGCCCAAAGCTGAGGAGGAGAGGAGACTCTGGTTCTGATTTTGATGTTGTCACTACTATGTTGTATGACCTTGGGCACTTGACTTAACCTTTTTGTGCCTCAGTTTCCTCTTCTGTAAAATGAGGCAGTTGGGCTAGGTGATATCTGAGATCCTTTCCAGCTCTAATATAGGAATCTTGGAAACTAAAATTACTGCTCCTGAGTGAGTACCTATTTCAGTGCCCCCCCTCCAGCTTGAAGTTCTGCCCTTCAGGGTGATATGGAAAGTACATAGAAGCCACAGTGGGATTAGGGCAAAGAATCTTTTTAGTTAAATGTTTTCTCTTCTCAAGTAGAGAACCTGAGGGTTGGAGCAAATGAGATTACCTGGGTGGGCACTGATGAAAATCATAGAATTTGAACCCTTTGCTTCTAGATCTCTGGTCTTTGGTCTTGAAGCCTCAAACTGATCCTAATCTCATGTTTTGTTCCCCCACCTTCTTTTTTCACCACTCTCATGCAGGGTTCCTGTGTCTTCGATCCCAGAGTACCCTGGTCTGTGCCCTAGGGATCATCATCCTGGGGGTGGTACATCACACATTCACAGTCAAGGGTAGCCATCTGGCCAGCCACGGTGCCCTCAGCAACTCCAAACACTGGAGCAGATTTTGGGTGCTCTTCTTTGTGGAAGTAAGGAGGGGACTGGGCTTCTGGGACTATGTGTAGGACAACCTGTGTGAATCCAAGTATGCAAGCAAATGTAATAACATGGATTTGTGTGGGCAATTCCAGCTGCATATGCACATGACTAAGTGTGGGATGAAGATACAAAGTATGTGTATCTTAATTGTGGTGTGTGATGTGGACATATTCTATGTTTATGACATGTAATGTGCATACTTTGAGCTTCTTTAACTCTAGTGTGGTTGCTATTTTTTCTGTGACACTGGGCTGATAGCTACTTGGAGCATCTTCCTCTCACCAGGGGCTCCCAACTGGCATGTCCAGGCCTGTGGATGACTCCTCCTCTGACTGCAACTCATGTTGCTTCATAATTTTGCAAGCAGGGTGTCATGGGGAAAGATGGGGTAGACCTCCTACGTTACTCAGTACCTGAGAGCTTAAGATTTGACTTCAACTTCAATCATGACACTCTTCTCCCTTCCCTGTGGTGGCAAAGAAATACTCTCAGGAGAGTTGTCTTAAATGGAATGAAAACGACTTTCTCTTGAGGCTGATGATTTTCAAGGTTATGAAACTTATCCAGGTTGGCAGTTACAGACACTGAAGGTAGAGATCACCAGTTTTCCAAGCCAGGTCTACACTTAGCTCATTCCTGGCTAAGATTCCCATGCTCTTTGAACAAGTTCTGTGTCTTCAACTTCTATCAAACTAACAATCTGCTGTCTTTATCTAATAATAATTATAGCTAGCATTTATATAGCACTTTATTTTTTTGCAAGGCAATCAAGGTTAAGTGACTTGCCCAGGGTTTATAGCTAGCATTTATATAGCACTTCATTTATTTTTTTGCGAGGCAATCAGGGTTAAGTGACTTGCCTAGGGTCACACAGCTAGTGAGTATCATGTATGTGAGGCCAGATTTGAACTCAGCTCCTCCTGACTCCAGGGCTGGTGCTCTATCCACTGCACCACTTAGCTGCCCCTATATAGCACTTTAAGGTAGGCAAAATGCTTTACAAATATTATATCGTTTGCTCCTCAAAACAACTGTGGGGTGTAGGTATTGTTAATTATCCCCATTTTACAGATGAGGAAACAAAACAGACAAATGGGAAGTGACTTGCTCAAGGTTCAGTGTCTGAGACTGGATTTGAACTCAAGTCTTCCTGACTACAGATCCAGTACTCCACATACCATGTCACCTAACTGCCTTTCATTAGGACACCTGGGTTCTCCTCTTGCCCTATCAAATAAATATGAGTATGATCATTTAAGTCAGAATGTAGAGACATTCATCCTTCTAAGAGGTCAAAGGAAGTATGACGTTAATAATGTTCAAAGCAGTGCACTAGGAATATATAATCCTGGATTTGAGTCAGGACTCTATTATTTGCTAAGACAACAGGTAAGTGACTCTGCTGTGATATCTTTGAACCTTAGTTTCCTCATCTGTAAAATAGGGCATCCTGTCTACTTCAGGGACAGGAATGTGCTGAAACCAGCTTGGACCAGTTAACAAGATCTGATTGTTAGATTTTCAGTGTGGGGTTTTTTACATTTACACCTCGGAAATCGGAAAATGCTAAAAATCCAGGCTTGATTTATTGTTGTTGTAAAAAATTGTCTTGATTTAAAAAAGTGATAGAGAAAATGTTAACAAGGAAGATTAAATTTATAAGTGTGATGTGTATAATTTCTCTCGCCCCCCTTCCTGGAAAGCATGTTGTTCACATTTACCAGCACACGCCTGCACAGAGGGTTGTTAGGTACAGGAACTAGGCCTGTGATTTCACTGGTATAGGGAATGCCTGGGTGAAAAAATACCATATACGTATGTGTATTTGTATGTAATAATAATGGGAAGAAATACTATCTATATATTTGTGTACCTACATGTTGTTGTTATTCAGTTGTTTCAGTTGTGTCCGACTCTTTGTGAGCCTGTTTGGGGTTTTCTTGGCAAAGATACTGGAATGGTTTGTTATTTCCTTCTCCAGCTCATTTTACAGATGAGGAAACTAAAACAAACAGGCTTAAATGGCATCCACAGGGTCCCACATCTAGTAAGTGTCTGAGGCCAGATTTGAACTCAGGTCTTCCTGCCTCCAGGCCTGGCACTCTATCCACTGTACCTCCTAACTGCCCCTGTGTATATGTGTGTATGTATATGCATATATATACAAACACACATATACAGAGTGTGTGTGTATGTGTGTGTATATGTACATATATACGTACATATGTATACAATTTATTTATATGTACAAATGTACACAAACATCCACATACATAAATATGTATGTATGTATAGAGCTCTGTCTATCTATAGTTTAGCACCTTACCTTGAGGGTTACCTTGAGCAGTGAGAAGTTAAGTGACTTGCCTAAGGTCACACAGCCCATATGTGTGGGAAGTAGAACTTAAACCTGGCTTCAAGGCCAGCTTTCTATTCACTATCCTATGCTCCCTTTCAGAGGGTTGTTATAAGGGCCAAATGAGATAATATAAAAAAAAAAGTGTTACACAAATGCTTACCCATCATAGGTGAATTCTTAGCAGTGAACAGTAATCACAGGCACAGCATGAGTTGTTATTTTTGTAAAAACTACAGCTGGATAGTTAACTAGCTCAAGCACATTCAATAGGAGAAGAGAGTAGGTCACCATATGCAGCTCTCCCTATCCTCTTTTGTTTTGCTTTTCTCTCTGCATTCTTGGGGCAAACCTCTGGGGAAACAGAAGAGGTCATTGGGTCTTTGATCCTCGTAATCCATTTTAGTAAGTTTTCCATCCCCGGCACCCATGGGTGGGGATTAGTTCACTTACTCAATAGGCTGGAGACCAGCTACAACCCCAGAATGCTTGGGCTTCCATTGTTAAATGGAAAGGGATGGGAACAAGCATTTATTAAGCACCCACTATGTGTAAGCCACTGGAATAAGTGCTTTACAAGTATCGCATTTGACCCTTACGATAACCCTGGAAGGGAAGGGCTATTATTATCCTGATTTTACAGTTAAGGAAAATGAAGTGGAAGTGAAGTGACTTGCCCAAGGGTCACACAGCTAGTAGATGTCTGAGGTTCTATTTGAACTCAGGTCCTCTTGACTCCAGGTCCAGTGCTCTGTGCACTATGACGCTACCTAGTGGCCAGTTGAAGAGTGGGATATAAATGAGTAGCTGGAAGTCTCTGCATGCAAGGGCTCCAGTCTTATCTTTCCAGACTTCTTTCCCACTCCTCCTCTTCACATATGCTGTGTTCCAGCATCACTGGCCTACTTTGCTGTCCCCAGAACTCAATATCCCCTTACCACATCTCCGTGCCTTTGTACTAACTGTTCCCCATGCCTGGAATGCATTTCCTCCTCAACCTCTTCTTAGAGTTTCAGCTTCCTGTGCCAAGACTTACTGAAGCCTTTCCTAATCCCCCAGGCTGTGTTTTCTTCATTCTCATATTATCGCATATTTGCTTATCTGTTTACACATTGTATCCCCTAGAAGAGAATGTAGGTTCCCTGAGGACTGGGAATATTTTTTTTTGGACAATTGTAGTGCCGTGTATATAAGAATTGATCAATTAATTTTAAAAAAATATTCAGCACCTACTATGTGCCAGGCACTGTAAGTAGGAAAAGCAAGTCTCTATCCTGAAGTCCTTTGGGGACAATCCTAATTTTAGATATATTCTCGACTTGCAAAATGAGATGGGAATTGGAGGAGTACTAAACAGTAATAGTCCTTTTAAACTCCTTCCTATTAATTTTTAATCTATGTTTCTACGGCCCCTTATTGAATGTAATTTTTATTGCATTATGATCTCAAAAAGGATAAGCTCCTTCCCGATAGAAAGGTTCATCTTGTTCAAATCTCTCCTTGAGGCTAGCTGGTATAAATAGGATTCTGGTAATATAAATAGTACTCTCCATATAATGCCTTGTTTCTCAAAAATCTCACAGAGATTTGAAACCACCTGAGAGTTTTAATTAATTAAAATGAAGTTTAAGGAAAGAGTCCTTCCATTGTATAGCTTCCCACCCACTTTCTTAACCCTCAGGGTCTAGAGGATGTGAATAACTTAGACACCATTTATAAAATTGTAAAACTTAGGTAAGAACTGGAAACATTTGTTCTGATGACTCTTTGGAGCCATCTTTGTGCCTGGACTTATTCAATTAAATCCAACAAATATTTATGAAGCATCTATCATCATGCACCTGGGCTGGATGCAAACATGATGATATTCCTACCCTCATGGAGTTTATATTTTACTATGGGACAAAACTATGATATATACACATTAGTGTAACCACATTACATATATATATATACACACATATATATACATATATATACACACATATATATATACACATATAAATGATAATTCAATGTCGGAAGTGATAAGGGCCAAAGAGAGATCCAAAGAGATCCAGGAACATTTGAGGAGGAAGAATATGCTTTCATTTGGGTGGGAATCTATGATGGAAGTAGAATTTGAGCTGAACCTTTAAGGAAGTGAATCTTTAAGGGAGTTTCAGCCATAATTATCATAATAGTTAGCGTTTATGTATTGCCACCTAACTTATTAAATGGACATCTAGGTGGTGCAGTGGATAGAGTGCCAGACTTGGAAGTGAGTAGCCCTCAATTCAAATATAACCTCAGGTACTTACTAGCTGTGTAACCCTGGGCAAATCACTTAACCCTGTTTGCCTCAGTTTCATCATCCATAAAATGAGCTGAAGAAGGAAGTGGCAAACTGTTCCAACATCTTTGCCAAGAAAACCCCAAATGAAGTCACAAGGAGTTGGACGTGACTGAAAACGACTGAACAACAACGAAAACGTATTAAAGAAGTTCACAAGTCTCACATTAGGAAACCTTGCTCTAAAGCAAAAGTGTAAAGCAGGTGGCTGAGTGCAGCCTTAACCAGATTATACTTTAATTGAGAAATATTTAACAAAATAAGTCAATAGATAACATTACATTTTAAAACTAAGTCTGTATGCATTCTACAGAGATCTTTACAGATTAGTGGCCTCCACCTGTAGCTGAGTTTGACAGTACTGCTCTAAAGCAAACTGGCAGAGTTAGGGAGACAGAAAGCCTGGCATACTGAACTGCCCCCCCCCAACTGCCTTGGAAAAAAGGTCTGTGGGAGAAGGCTGAAGGGAGCATATTGATTTTTAGACACTAATGTTGAGTGTTTAAATGGGAAGGAATGTGAAATAAACTGGAAAGGAAGGTTGGAACCAGATTATGGAGCCTGAAATGCCAAGGTAAAGGCATTTTATCATTATTATTTTTATTATTATCTTAGAGACAGTAGGAATCCAGTTAATGTTTTTTTTTTTTCAAGTGAAGGAGTGACAGGATCAGACCCATACCTTGGGAAGATTATTTGGGCAGTTTTGGGAAGGTTGGATTAAGAAAGAGAGAGATAGGAGGCAAGTAGACCAATCGGAGCCCATTACAATGGTCCTAATAAGAGATAGAAATAGGAAGGTAACCATGTATGTAGAGAGAAGGGGATAGATGCAAGAGACATGTGAAGCTACAGAAAAGGTGCCAACTTGCATTGGCAGAGGGGGTTCCCAATACCAGTGAAAATCACAAGTCCAATGCCTAGCCTATAGTTAGGACCACTCTCCATATAAGCTGATATGTGTATGTGTGTATATTTGTATGTATGTATGTATGTATGTGTGTGTGTGTATATGTATGTGTGTACACACACACAGACACACACACAAACATATTAGGATTTCTACAGACTGCCATCTTCTAAAGGCTCTCCCTAGGAGATCCTGAACTGACTTTGACCTAGCACCTGGGAGAAGTGTGGTGATTTAATAAATAGCAATCTGGACCTGGAGTCAGGAATACCTGGGTTCCAAATGGATACTTGCTAGCTATGTGACTTTTGGTAAGTCACTAAAACTTTTTTACTTTTAGGTTCCTTATCTTGAGGGGGGCAGTATGCTGCGTCTGCAGTACTTACCTCATAGCACTGTTTTGAGGATCAAATGTATACAAAAAGCTTTGAAAACTTTAAGGCACAATAAAAATGTCTTTTATTTCATAGGCAAGATAGGTGGTCATTTCAGATGCAATGTTAGAGGTGGGAAGGCACAACAAAGGATGCTTCTGAATATTATTTTTTATTTACAAACATTTTTCATGTCAGAAAATTCCATTCTCCAGGTCCAAGTTTCTATTACACTACTACACTCCTCTTAGATGCAAGGTCAAAGTCAGGCACAAAGATGATAACTTTTATTTATTTTGTGATAAGCCAAGTCACATGTTACAGTGAAGGCTTGAGGCCTCTGGTGAACTATCACACGCAGGATCGCAATTTTCCAACCTTACCTAGGGCACAGACAACAATTGACTTTGTCTAGATCCTTCAGAAATTCCACCTTTTAGAAAGTTAATAAAAAGAATCACTGGTTTTATCAGAATGTTTATTTCCTCTGTAAAACCAGAGTTTGCAATGCTGTCCATTTTGTTACAGAATACTTTTTGGTACAAAACAAAAGTTTCTTCTTGGGTTTAGTGTGAGAAAAAACGTTATCCCTGAAGATTAATTTGAATGCTTCCTCTTGTCAGGAAATGCAGTGCAAATAGAAAATGTTAAAACTATGTAACCTAACTTGTTTCTCTTTTAGCCTTTGCTGCCAGAAAATTTAGAGCAAAATTCGGTGCTCAACCATACCATTTCAATTGTCTTAAATGGTTGATATTCCTAGAGGGATTTTATTCTGTTTTGTCCCTAAATGTATTCTTTTCCATTTTAAATGCATTTTATTGCTGGCTTTTGTCTTTACATCATAATCATTTCCCACCCACCTCTCCAGATTTGACCATCCCTTGTGACAAAGAAAAAGTATTAAGCAAAAATATGCAAGACAGAGAATGCCTGACAGTGTACATACAGTATGCTGTCCTGGTAGTCATCCACCTTTCCGCCAGAGGGAGAAGGTTTGATAAATTAGCTCTTCTCCAGGACTTTTATTGCTTTTTGTCACTATTCAGGGTTCAACTTCCTTTTAGGAATCTGTTCATGCTGCAGTGACTGTTTATACTGGTCTCATTTCATTTATTTTGTTCTAGGTCTATTCATACAAGTTTTCCCAGATTTCCCAGAATCCTTCTCAGTGTATAATAATATTCCATTACATTCCTATACTTTGATTTTTCAAAGGGAATCTCTTATTTCTGGCTCATCATTACCAAAAAAAGTGCCGCTATGAACATTTATTAGATTTTTGTTTCTGTCTCTAACTTCTTTGGGGAATATGGTAAGATCAATGGATCACAACGTATAAATGGATTAGTCATTTTTCTTGAATAATTCCAAATTGAAGTCCAGAATGGTTGGACTACTTTATGGCTTCACCAAGAGTACATCAGTGTGCCTGTCTTCTTCCCACATTGCTAGTTCCCATCTTTGCCAATTTACTTGGTGTGGAGTGAAACCTCGGAATTCTTTTAATTTGCACTATTCTATTAGTGCTTTGGAACATACATTCTGTTTTAAAGGGTAAGCCCCTTCAATTCCTCTTGAAGGTGGGCAGGAGGGTAAATCTGAAATAAATAAAAATTATTGGCTTAGATAAAAGCTTCTAGGGAGTACTATGCTCTGTAACTTTTGCATATATTTGCATATAACAAAAGCATTAACTTCCTATCATGCATTCAGATTTCTCCATGCTTCTGCCCTTCTCTGTTCGTTTCTGTCTGCAGAGAATTCCACCAAATTTCCATCTCTGTTGCTGTGTGATCTATGCAATTAATTATCCAGTGGTTTATTGACTTTGTGGACAGTCCATGTACATTTTCAATCCCAGATTATCTGTCTTTACCTACCTAGAACACTGAGGGTCCACCCTGCCTTTTAACTGATGTAGACCCAGAGAGTCAAAGCAGAATTAGGACAGTAAAGATGCTGTAGGAAAATCACAAATTGCTTTGAAAAGCCAGAAGAAAAATACATTTGCCATCACAATCCTCTTTATTCATGTACATAATGAATGGGAAGCTGACTGTAAATGCAAAAATTCTTGAGTATTTCGGAGGGCTTGGGAGGTGGTCCTAAAGCAAAGCACCCCTATGTTAGCCTGTGCCCAAGAAGGTCTTCTGTTCCCGTGCCAGTGTTCCTAGCACCCTTATTGTTCCATTTCTCTACTCTCACACTCCTTAGGTGTGTACTTCGTTCACAGCTGAACAGGCCACACATGGCCATGTGAAGTTACATCATGGTTACACCAATGTGGTGGGCCTGGGGGACTCGAGTACGTGGAAGGTGCCTATCCTGAATCGATATGTCTACATGTTCTTTGCTCCATTGATGTTACCCATCATCACCCCTCTGGTGGCACTTGGTGGGTACCCCCCCAGGACCAGTCCCCAAAATTCCCAGGCCACATCCTTGAGTAGAATTAAAGAACCTCCTTGGAAAAGGAGTACCACACTTCTCCCTTCCCCCACCACCTTCAAGGAGGCATTTGATGGAGCAAGTTGGGGGCCAGACTTCTGGGTCTCATTCCCAGCTCAGGTAGGATAGATAGATTGCTCACCCTGTCAACAACTTAGGGATTATTGTCCTGTTATTAAGAGGCAGGGTGAGCTAAGAGCCTTTGAATGCTGAGGCACAATGTTGAGCGAGTGGTGTGGTGGGAATAGCATTGGCTCTGGGATCAGGAGCCCAGGTGAGAATCCCAGGTCCGCAATACACTAGCTGTGTGACCCTGAACAAGATATTTAAATTATCTGAACCTCATTTTCCCCATGCTACACATGGGCATGACAATATTTATAATGCTTATCTTTTAAAGACCGTGTGCTAAAAGTTCCTTGTAAACCTTAAAATGCTATGGAAATGTGAGTTATTATTATTACCTGGAGGAAGTCACTTATTTGTAACTCCCCACAGCAATAAAGATGCTTGGATTTAGATACCAGTCTTTGGGAGGAGAAATATCTTATGATACTTAATAACTAATAAATAAATAACAACTAGCATTTATGCAGCACTATAAGGTTTGCAAAGTGGTTGTTTTTGTTTTTTTGTTTTTTTGTTGTTACAAGTACCTCATTTGGTCCTCACAACAACCTCCGTGAGTTATCCCCATTTTATAGATATGGAAACTGAGACAGACAAAGGTTAATTGACCTGCCCAGGGTCACACAGCTAGCAAGTATCTGAGATAGGATTTGAACTCAAGTCTTCTTGACTCCAAGTCCAATATTGGATTCAGTGCATCACCTAACTGCTTTTACATACCTACTAGAAGAACTCCCTGATAGCTCTGGAGCTGTACTTTGGGCTGAAAGAAACCTCAATAGCCTCTATGGTCTTTTAATAATGTGCCTATATATTCTATGGTCTGTGGCAGGGCTGAATTTCTTACCTTGCCCCAGCCCCATTAAATATCCCTTCATCTACAAAGTGCATCAGGTGGAGTCCTATAAGCAGAGGGCTTGGAGCTAGAAGCCCTGAGTTCAGATCTTAGTTCTGTGTGTGCTACCTGTGGGACTCTGGGCAAATCTCTTGGTTTCTCTGCACTTTCTTACCTGTAACGTAATTGAATTGAACTGTGCGGTCCTTAAGGTCCCTTCCAGCTCTAAATTCTACAATTGAGCTCCAAAGGGCCCCAGCCTGGGAAGAAATTGGCGAATGTTCAAGCAGGAAGATGGTCTTAAAGATGGCCTAATCCAGCTCCTTCATTTTGCATTTGAGGAAACTGAGGCCCAGTGAGCTTAAGTGAATTGTGGGAGGTCACAGAGGCAGTTAGTGGCAGAGCTGAGATTAGAACTTTGACCTCTTCTTCCTAGTCCTGTGTTCTATCCCCCTCGGCTCTTAGTGGGATGTGGTGTGGAGGGCGATGGATTTGAAGTCAGAGGACCTGAGTTTGAATGCCAGGTCTGTCACTTTCTCTATCTGTGTAACCTTAAGTAAGTCATTTCCCTTAATTTTCTCATTTTAAAAATGAGTTTTATTGTTGTTATTGTTCAGTCCTGGCTGACTCTTTGTGATCCCCTTTGGGGGTAGTAAAATACTACCATTTGGGGTATTCTTGGCAAAGATACTGGAGTGGTTTGCTATTCTTTTTCCAACTCATTTTACAGATGAAGAAATTGAAGCAAACAAAGTTAAGTGACTTGCCCAGGGTCACACAGCTAGCACCTGAGGCCAGATTTGAACTCAGGAGGATGAGTCTTCCTGACTCCACGGCACTCTATCCATTTTGCCACCTAGCTGCCCTAAACAATTAGACCATGAAGGGACTCAAACCTCAATCTTAGGATCTAAAGTCAAACATCTTAACTATTACAGCACGTGGTCCACATTAAACAATGAATAGGGAGGAAGAAATGACCACCCAGCTCCCTTCTAGATCTCTAAATCTACTATTCTACCATCTTAGTCTTTACTTGCTATTCTAGTCTTTTGGAGACTTAGAGGGGGCTCAGAAGATACTGACCACCTTGCCTCACATTCCTTTTTCCCAAAGGGCTGCTGAGGAAGGAGGAGCCTAGGACAGTTCTTCGGACCTTGTGTCTCATGTCCCTGGGGCTCTTCTCTCACTACTGGCTGCTGATCAAAGTCTCTGGCTTCCAGTCTCCTGGGTTTGCTCTTCTCTGCATGCTTATCACCCGGGGCCTGCTGGCTCACCCCTACATCCATGTCAACATCTTCCAGGTAAGGCTTTCCCTGCCAATTTTCTGAGGTGTTGGAGGGTTGGGGGGAAAGTGTTCTTTAGGGCAGAGGCTCCAAACACCCTGCCCATGCTGCTGGCATCACTCTCAAATACAGCTGAACCAGATTAAAATGGAATTGAGAAATATTTAACAAAGCAAATAAAAACACAATGAAAATAGATATTACATTTTAAAATTAATTCAATATTTAGCTGGTAGGAATCTTTATATATGGATTAGTGGCTCCATTTCTATGTGAGTTTGACATTACTGCTCTTGGGCAAGCACTAGAATTTGGCAACAGTAAAAGATTTCTGAAAGTCCAACCACCAAAAATTAATTCAAAATCAAATGTATGATGAAACCGAGGTGTTTCTGGCAGCCCTAGCCCATGGTGCATTGGACAACTTTACTACAACCTTGGTTCTGAACACAAAGCATGTGCACTTTGCATGCACGTGCCCTTAGGCCACGCAAAAAAAAAAAAACAGACAATGAAGCAGCAAAAGGGATTGAGAGTGGAAAAAGTTTAGGAAGCCCTTCTCTAGGGGAAACAAAGACTAGGTAGGGCTAGAGGTCTCCTGGGTGGGTATGGATGTCAAGTGGGGAGAAAGAAAAACTAGGGGACTTAAACAACTGAAGAATACTCTCAAATTCAAAGCCAGGTTGAGAGATCTCAAATGATTGTGTCTCCAAGAGGGGAATACTCCAAAGCAAGTCAAAGGAAATCAGCCCAGCCTAGGGGATCAGTATGAGTACTGCCTTCCCTCAGGCTGAAAAAGGGCTACAATTTCAGAGTATGGTTGTATGTGTCTTTTTGTGTATGTATCAAAGCACATCGGGCTGCCCATGTTCTCGTTGGATAAGAAGCCCCGGAGGATCCACATGATGAGCCTTGGGGTGCTCAACCTGCCCCGAAACCCCATCCTGGACTGGACATTTGGCCATTCTCTCATCAGCTGCCATGTGGAACATCACCTCTTCCCCCGGCTCTCTGACAATATGTGTCTAAAGGTAGAAGAGGGATAGGGGCAGAAAAGGGCTTAGGACAGGAGAGAAAATGTCTAGGAGAAGGAAAGAAAAGAATTAGGGACTAAGGAGAAAAGAATTAGGGGCAGGGAAGAACAGGGTTGGGGCAGGGGAGAGCAGTTAGAGAGACTTAAGAAACTGGTCCAGTGGGAATAGCTTCAGGGTATACGTGTCTAGAGCTAGTCCTGCCCACTGTTTCTTGAGGGGGTCAGCACGCAATGGAAAATCAACTACTTCAACTCCACATAGAAAAAAGTATTGATATTTTTGTTTGGGTTTCTAATATCAACCAATCAACAAACATTTATTAAGCACTTAACAGGTGCCCAACACTGCTATGTGCTAGAGATGCAAAGAGTGGACAAAAAAAAGTCCTTCTCTCTCTCCCAAATAACCACATCTAATGAATAATTTTTTAAAAAGAAAGAGGAAAAAAAGCCAGTTCAGTAAAACAAGACATCGAATCAACCATTTGACTTTATATCCTACCCCCATAGTATCTCACATATGCAAAGGCAGGAGAGAGAGAGTTTTTTTTTTTCTTGGGACCAAATTTGGTCATTATAATCTCAAAGCAATTAGTTTCTACTTTTGATGTTACTGTTGTTCTTTTCTTCTACCTTGCTGTAGTTACTGTGTCTATTGTTTTTCTAGTTTTGCTCACTTCATTTTGCTTTAGTTCATATAAGTCTTCCCATGCTTCTTGTCAGCCCTCTTCTTAAATATTTTGCAATAAGCAGCTGTGTGGTGCAGTGAATAGAGCACTGTGTCTGGACTCAAGGGGACTTGAATTTAAACCTGGCCATAGACATTTTACTAGCTCTGTAACCTTGGACAAGTCACTTCACCTCTGTCTGCCTCACTTTCCTCAACAGTAAAATGGGAATAATAACTACCATCCAAGGTAGTGTGAGAATCAAATGAGGTAATAATTATAAAGCACTTAGCCTAATGTTTGACACATAGTAAGCACTTAATAATTTCCTGTTGAATGAAGAGATCTCTAGAATAAGGGATTCCATGATTTCTATTGGTCCCACAATCCAGGAGTTAATCACTTTTGAGACAGGTCTAACCCAAGACTCTGATGTTGCAATTTATAGGAAATTCTTTTCATTTGAGCTCTATTGTGATGGAGAACATGTCAGCATTTCCTCCCGAATAGCCCTTTATATAGTAAAGATAGATCTGAAGATGCTGCTTGTCCATTCCTCTACCCCATCATATGTCCATTCCTCAAAACCTCTAACCCACTTTTCCTTGGGTCTAAACAGCCACATTAATTTTCAGTCTCAAATTCAACTTGCACAAACATCTCTCAGTTGGTGACTATGTGCAAGACACTATTTTGGTGGTTCTCCAAGGAAGCTGGGAGAGGTCACCAAATATGAGACTTAGATTGGTTCATTTAGTGGGCATAAAAGATGGCCTGTCTTTGTCTTGGACTCTTGAGGTCAAGGAGGCTTAGAGTATGACCTGTCCTGTTTGATTCTAGTAGAAAGGAAGAGAACAATAGGGAATGAAGCTTGTAGACACCCAATCCTGTTCAGTGGCCTGGGAGATAAGGGTGTGCCTCTGGCATTTAGGACAAAGAGTGCCACAATGGCAGAAATGTCATAAATCTGTCCTAGAACCTTCTGTGCTCCCAAGAAATCTGATTTCATGGAACGGTGTTGAATTTATAGTGCAATATCCAGGTTCTAATCTTGGTTTTATTACTTAATACCAGTATTATTCGTTGTGTGACCTTGAACAAGTCCATGAAACTTCTCTGGGCCTCAGTTTCTTCATCTATAAAATAAGGAGGTTGCACTAGATGACCCCCAAGGGCCCTTCCAAGTCTAAATTTATGATCCTATGATCCTTTCTTTTGACTGCTGGACTAAACACCCTCATTTCCTGGGTTCCCAACTAGAGCTGACTGCTACAGACATTAGCATGTGAAAAGGGGGTGAGTGGAGGAGGAGTCCCCTTTGGGAAAAAGACCAGATCTCTATCTTATTAGTCTTTGTTCACTCCTTTTCTTCTAGGTGAAGCCAGTGGTATCTCAGTTCCTTCAAAGGAACCATCTGCCATACAATGAGGACTCCTACCTGTCAAGACTTTGGCTTTTCTTGAGCAGATATGAGGAGCTCATGGTGCATGCCCCTCCCATCACTGACCTGGTGGGGCTCCAGTGAGGATGTTCCCTCACTGACAAGTCTCCCCAGCCCCCTTGCCCTCACCAGGGTTCTGGCTCAAGATCCTTCTGCTTTGGCTGGGAACATACCCAGAGACATCACCCTAGAACCTAAGCCTGCCTCTCTCTGCTCCCTGGAGCTCTGAGTGGATTGGGAGGCTTCTCTTGGATGGGCCCTCTGCTTTTTCACCCTTCCATCTTGGGGTAGGAGGGATGGGTATTGGGTAGGGGGCACATCCAGCACTGTACCTCCCCCAGAGGGCAAGTGGGTATATGCCCTGGAGGCCTATGGAACACTGTTTGCCCTTTCCTGAGTTGGGCAAAGAGTGGGCAGCGAGAGTGGTGGCCTTTCCTCCTTTGGGAATGGTGTACTCCTCTCCATGATCCTTTAGACCATCTTCATCTTAGAACAAATCAGCCTGATTCCTTGTCCCCTTTCCTTTGTCTTCCCTTCTGACTCTGAATGTGAAGTGTCAGTGAGGGCAGTAGGCTTTGCTGAGACATCTGGTAAGAAAGGAGAACAAAGGAAGGTTGGGTCCTGTGTGCTCCCAAGAAATCCTTCAAATAGTAGTCACTGAGTTCCTCTTCAATTCTGCTGTAATTGCTAATACACTGTGGGAACCCCAGCTTAGGAAAGCCAGAATCAGCCCAAGATATTGGCTTAGCATTTCCTGTGGCTCAGGATACCTCTCTAGGATCTGGGTAGGATTTGAAGGCAAAAGGGAATCAGATTAAGCACTTCTCTCAAGGTGGAAAATAGGAGTAGGAACTTATAGACATCTGTGAGTAATCTTGGTGATCCCTAGGAAAAAAAAAATCTTGTTTTGAATTGAGACTTACAAAAAAAGGTTAGGAGGACATAATCTACTGGAGAGAGGAGGCTTATGGTAGAGGGAAATAGTGGGGTTGGAAGCAAGATAGTGTGTGAGACATGAAGACCCTTACCAATAAATTCTGGAGACTCAGATGTAGCAGAGAGAAAGATTTCTTTATTAGCTTTCTCGAGAAAGGGCACCCTCCGTCTGCCTAAGATCGCTGTGGTGGAAGAGTGCAAGGCTGTGCTCAGCAAAGAAAGATTATATAGCCCCTAACCCCCTTCTTCTCAGCTCATTGGTGCAAGCCTTGTGGGCACAATCTATTCGGGCAATCTACCCCAGCAACAGAGAACAAAGACAGTTTCACAAACCTGCCTGGAGACAAGGAAAGGTGGGAAGTTTTTGCAAGAGTAAGCAGTTTGGGAAGGGGGGTGGGGTCTGGTAAATACAGGATGTGTTGAAAAGCATGTTTCCTTACAAGGTCAACTGGCTGCAAATATTTCAACGGAATAAGAAACGATTAACTCTTTGAGGAGGCTTCACTCCTGAGAGATCCTCAGAGATCATCTCTCACAATAGGAAAAAGATTCGGAATGAAAGTTGGGCAGGCAAGAAACAGAGAGGAGGAAAAAGAGATGGGACAGCTAGTTAATGGGGGGAAGGAGACCTTGAAGGCAGGGTCACAGGTCAAGGGCAGTGACAACGTGGATCAGTGATACTTTAGCTTGAAGTTTGTAAGTATAATGATGGGAGTGGGGCAGGGAAAGGGAGGCGAGGGGAGTAGGTGACTAGAAGAGAGGCCAAGGGTCTAGTGAGTTGTAGGACATCCACAAGATTTAGACTGGAGAGGTCTGGACTGACTGCAAGGTTGAGAGTGTCTGGTTTGGTTACATGGCCATACACCAAGTAAAATGGTTAGCTCTTAGAGCTGGGAGGTTGGCTTTAAAAGTACGCTAGTATTTATTCCAGGATTTTAATTGAAATGATTTTAATATAAGTCACAGAACAGAGCAGGGGATTCTAATTATTCAGATGGGGCATGGGGAATGGGTGCTAAGTTTTGGGGAAAAAACTCAGAAATTCAGCCTCAAGTTTAGGGAAATTCTCTCAGTCTTGGAAGAGAGGAATATCATTCTCCAGGGTTATTTGCTTGGCATCTTTGATCTCAGAAATTATCTGTAAGAGTGAGATCCACTCCTCTCTCTTGTGGAGGTGGGGAAGGCGGTTAGGGCAGCCCTTTCGGTCAAAAGGATGATGGGAGTATGCAGCTGTGAAGTGGCAGTATTATTATTGAGCCAGTAAAGTGGTGTGACAGAGTGAAGGCCTTGGCAGAGGAGAAGGGAAGTTGCCTCAGCCACTTACTAGCAATGGGACCCTGGACAAGATGGTTACCCCATTGGCAAAATGGAGACAATAATAACAACCTCCCTGACAGTGGTGTTGTGACCATCAAGTGGGATAGCATTGGCAAAGCACTTTCCAAATCTTAAAGCACTACATACATGTTAACAGTTACTATTAGACTCAGGGTTTGTAGATGCATCAGCTGCTTTGTGAACTGGGAGGCAAGTCAATTAAATAGCTAATCCTCCAAATAAATAATGCACAGTCAGAAAAGGTCTCAGTTAGATGGTCCTGGCTAATGATTAAAACCACCCCAAGATGTGACCGATGATTCCTGATTATTGATTTGACTCCTGGAGACTGGAGGAGGAGGTGGGTTGGTAGGACGCCAGACTGGTTTTCTATATCTGTTTATATCACAGTCACACGTAGTTTTCCCCTTGACAGCTAGGGGGCGCAGTGAATACAACTTTGGACCAAAGGCAGAAGACACGAATTCAAATTCGACTTCAGACACGTTACTACTAGTGTGTGACCCTGGGCAACACCCTTCATGTCTGTCCACCTCAGTTTCCTCAAGAGTAAAATGGGGGAAATAATAGTAGCCACTTCCAAGGGTGGTTGTGAAGATCAAAGAAGATATTTGTAAAATACTCCGAAGGCTCACAGTAGGTGCTTATAAATGCTTGTTGTTCATCAACACAGGGAATGTGGAACCAAAGAATCCTGGAGCTCTGCAGGTTCCAGACCAGGGGTTAGTTAACAGAGCGCCTGGACCTAAGTTCCCCGGCCCTGCAGAGAATTTTGGAGCCCTTTTTAAGATTGGCTGTTACTGGGTTCAGACTAACCTTCGGAAGGAATCAGACACAGAGAAGGCGGGGAAAATTTATCTTCCGTCCAATCCCCATGCCGCCAGGGGAGGGGCGGGGCAAATCAGAACGCCCCCTTCTCATTGGCTGTGGTGTCTTGGGAGGCAGGGAAAGAGAGGGGAAGTTATTCCGCCTTTATTCCCTTTGCGCCTAGTGATTGGCTCTAATAAATATTAAGGCGGGCTCTAGTCTTCCGGAAGCTGGGGGTGGGGCTGCGAATGACGGAGGGTGGAGCCCGAGGATTGGGTTTGTCCCGCAAGGGGGCAGGGTTACCCAGAGAGACCGCGGAAGGAGGGGTCGGGGCACAGATTCTGGCGTGACGGAAACGGGGGGCGGGGTATTGTGCGTGACGTAAGATGAAGGGCGGAGCGTCGTCTGCGCAGCATCTCCGAGCCAACGGGTGCACCGTGTCCTGGCTCTCCGTGGCTCACTGGGGCTGGGGCCGCTTCCTGCTGCTGCCTCCCTCCTAGATACAGGACGTGCATCAGTGGGGGCGGAGGTCATGGGTGGCGGCTTCAGTCTCAAGAAGTCCCCTCGCCGTCATCTGCACGTGGGGAAACTGAGCCCCAGGTGAAGGGACGTCACCCCTGCCCAACGTCACCCGCAGCGAGTCAGGGGCCAGTTCGAAGCTGGAACCCAGCCCCAATGACCCTTGGTTCAGGACCTTTTGGAGATGGGGGGGTCAGAGGGAAGACCCTCCTTTCCCACAGTTAGGAGATTATACGAGAAGTGAAAGAGGGGCAAAGAAATCTAGAAATCTAGGAGTTGTTTCAAGGTGGATATGGAGGTGACAAGTGACAGTGTGGGGCATCTGTCACAGAGAGGGTAGACTGGTGTGGACACGAGAGGAGTGAGGGGTGTGTGTGTGTGTAAATAAGAGAGAGATTGTGAGTGGAGGTGGAGTAATTAATAATAAAGATAGCTGACATTTATATAGCATTTAATGTGGGCCAGGCACTTATTATCTCATTTGATCCTCACACCAGCCCTGGGTGAGTAGGATGAGAAAAATGAGGCAAACAGAGGTTAAGTGACTTGCCGAAGATCACCCAGATAGGAAGTGTCTGAGGCCAGATTTGAACTCTAGTCTTCCAGATTTCGGGTCCAGCAATTGGTCCACTTCATCCACCTAGCTAAGGACCCCTCTGGGGGAAGGACTGAGAGATGTAAATACTATATATGGAGAGAACGTGTGGAGTGGTGGTGATGAAGGGAGAAAGAGATAAAAAGAGATAGGCATGAATGAATTCAATATAAAGGGAGAGGGGAGATGGGAATAGGAGAGAGAAAGATGAATGAATGGAGGTGAGATATAATGGAGAGGGAGGAAGGGAGACAGACACAAGACATAGATAAGAATGAATTTGTGTGTGTGTGTGTGTGTGTGTGTGTGTGAGAGAGAGAGAGAGAGAGAGAGAGAGAGAGAGAGAGAGAAAGAGAGATAAATGGGCCCTTTGGTGGGGAAGGAGAAGGAGATAGAGAAAGAAAGGGAGATAGGAATGAATGTGTGGGTGAGAGACATAAGGGCTCTTTGGAAAAGAGAAAGAAGAATGGAGGGAGAGACAGATGAGAGAGAGAGGAATAAAGGAATATAAGAAGGGGAGATATCAGGGTCCTTTGAGGGGAAGGAAGGAAGAAAAGAGGTATAGAAAGATATGAATGAATATTGTGGAGGTTAGATATAAAGTCGTATGTATGTGTGTGAGGGAGATAGAGACAGGAACAAAGGAAAAAAAATAGGAATGAATGAATGAATGAATGATGGAGGTGAAGTGTAAAGCTTCTTGTATTGGCTGCTGACTTTCCCTGAGCTTTGAAGTCCAGGACTGGCTGGATATTGAGTACAGGTAAAGTGACAAGACAAAGTGAAGGGAAGGAGGAGGAGGAGAAAGCTATGGCATCTATGGGAGATTGGTGCTGAAGTTTACTTCTGCATGTAAGGGGATATCCTTGGCGTGAGATGAGGTGTGCCTGACTTTACTCCCCCACACACAACTAGCTGTTCTCTACCCTAGAGCTGGCCCCTGTGGTAGGCAGTGGCTCAGCTGGTTTCTCTACCACCCAACACCTGCTGAAATAAGACTCTTCCTTATCTCTCCTCTTTCCTTGGCTCAGCTCCTTCAAGAGTTTTAAGACAGAGAAGCTCTGTAGCATCCTGTTTATGGAAGGCACTTTAACAGATTTCCCAGGTTCTGGAGGGTAAAGGACACTTTTCCTCTCCAAGCTTCGGGCTTCTCATATGTAAAAGTAGGATGTTGCAGCAGATGAGCTCTCAGGCCTCTTCCAGGCCTAATAATCCTGTTTCTGTGGATTCTTCTCACATACCCCCTTCCCATCTTTTCTGCCCATCTTGGAGCACCAGATTGCCCCAGGGATCTCTAGGAAGGTATCTGGCCTGGCTCATGCTGGTATGGTGGGGTATTCTCACCTGTCCCCTGGTGCTGGCCTGTGTGATGGAGAGGTTTCCTAATTTAGTCTGTCATTTTTTCAACCATCCCAGTTCTTTCTTCAATCACTTCCTGTTCCAAGCCTTCTCCACCTCCTCTACCTCTACCTCCTTTATCTCAAAACTGCCCCAAACCACCCCTCCTCCCAGCCCTACTACTCTGTCCCCTCACCATAGTCCCTAACCTTAGGATCATAGACTGTTAAAACTCCCTAAGACCACAGAGACTATCTCACCTAACCCCTTCATTTTACAGATGAACCCAGAGAAGTGAAAGGAATAATTCAGTCACAAAGTTAGGTGGTGGTGGAGTTGAGATTAGAACCCAGGTCTCCTGATTCCCAGGCCAGTATTCTTTCTTTTTTTATTTAAAAAAAATTTTTTTTTGCCAGCATTCTTTCTACTAAGACTTTGCTGCTTCATGATTCATCTTCTCCCCCTTCCTCAGATGTTTCTCTGGTTCATCTTTGTAGGTGAAGGCTGAGCTCTTCATGCTGAAGTCATTGGCCTTGGTGAGCAAAGCGCCAAGGCTGCCTGTTTCCCTTGAGCCTCAGGGCCAGCTTCCTGCTGGGGGAGGAAGGGAGGGAGGTGGGGAAAGGATTCAGTAAGGAACAGTCCAATATGGCATAAAGTGTCCAGAAAGAAACCCATACTGTGCTCTGAGCATCTGTGGGTGAAACGGCCAATGTGGTCCCTACCCTTAAGGAGCTTAAAGTATATTGGGGGAAATAGGGGAAACATACATTAGGAACACTTACCAAACAACACAGGAAAAAAAGGGCAAATTAATGGTGGAAACAGAATGTGTGAATGCTGAGGAAACCCAGATGCTTAGAGAGTTGGCTTCTGAGTCAGGAAGACCTGCATTTGAGTTTTGCTGCTGATCCATACCAGTGACTTGCAAAATACTTATCCCAAAGCAGCTCTTTAAGCCTAAAAATTGCACTGCAGTTGCTGATCTACATTGGGAGAAGGAAGTTTCTACACTGGGACAATAACAATGAAATCACAAGGTGTGGATGAAAAAGAAAAGCATCTCTCCAAAGTACTTTATTTTGGGATCTTTAGCAAATGCAATATGTCATCAACTTGGTATTACAGACTATGAGTACTATGTGCCCAGGCACTGTAATGAAGAAAGAAGAGACAGATCAGACTTTGTGGAGCTCAGAATAACAGGAAAGATGGGATATGTTATAAATGAAAGACGTGGATGAAAAATTAAAATTCTTTTTATATATTAGTGCTCCCTAGTAACTGAAAAAGATAATAATGGATCAAGGCAGAATGTATTAAATGTCAGTTGAATGGTGTGGACAGGTAATGGAATTCAGAGAAAGGAGAGAGAGATTATTGGGGGCTGGGATGGCCTGGGAGGACCGTGCAGGGAAGGTGGAGCTTAATGTGGACCTTGAAAGATAGACAGGACTTAGATAAGTGAAGTTGGGGAGGGCATTCTTGACTGGAGGAATATCAGAAGCAAAGTTATGAATGGTATATGTGACCTAGGGTCATGGGAAATCAGAGCTGGAAGAGGCTTCAGAAATCATCTATTCCATCAGATGAGGAAACTAAGGTCCTGAGAGAGAGGTGAAGTGACTTGTCTAAAGGTCACTCAGCTGAGATCTGGATATGCTACTTCATGTTGTGTGTTTTGTGGGAAGCCCATTGGTAGACCAGTTTGTAGAAGGAGATTCACATATAGGTGAAAAGGTTGGAGAGGTGGGTAGGAGCCAGATAGGAGAAGGTAAGGAATGCCAGAATCAAGGGCTTTGAACTCAATTCTATAGGCAGTGGTGAGGTAATCGAAGCTTTAGAGTGACGTCATCAGATCTATGCATTAGGAACACTAATCTGGCAACAATGCACAGAGTAGTTGTGGGGTAGGAATTGAGAGGAAGGGAAATCATGGAGGAAAGGACAACCTCTACCAGACTGTTGTAATTGTCTCATCATGTTGTAATCATTCCTCAGTAGTTAATGAGGGAAACATATAAATCACAGGAGAA